ATGCTAAAATAGTTTCCCGCATTTTTGCACCAAAAAAACGACTGAAGTTGGTCGGTTTCGTAAACAAAAATTAAAAAATAAAATATTTTTAAAATTCGACCGATTTCGGTCGGTTTTTTGCGCGGTCGGTTTCGGCCGAATTTCTAATAGTGAAAGAGGCAGTTTGGACTTATATATTGCGTACAAAAGTCGTGGGCTGAAATTTTTCTTTTCCTTTTCCGAGTCAGCTTTAGGGATTGATGCTAAGTTAGATGCTTCGCGTCCCCTTCAGCTTGAACTTCTCATTATCGGATTCTAGGGTGGATGCTTTGCATCCGCTCTCTATTCCTGCAACTTTGTTGTGCCAAGGTGCAGATGCTAAGGTGGATGCTCTCTTGAGACTTCATTGATATGGGGGCTTCAATGAAATCTTTTCTAGGTTGGATGCGATGTATCCAACCTCTTCTCCATAGCTGGAGTTATCTTTTCTTTATTTTTTTGTACGCTAAATATCCTAAATCATCACACATAACGTAATTAGTGGAAAACCAATAATTAACATGTGTTGGGCATTTTTAACACCAAATAACACCAAAATGCGGTTGAAACATGGGTAAAGTAACATTAAACCATATATATGCCAACATCACCAACCCACACTTAAACCATTGTTCGTCATCGAGCGAGGTAAAATCAACCTGTAGTAGATCGAGCAAAATTAAGCTCATAACTATCATGCCACAACTTTTCAATTATGTTCAGATCATACTTGCTAGACAAATTGGATAAAGAGGAGTTTTCATAAAACACTATAGTTTAGAGCTCAATAACTATAGTTTGCCTAATTACCATTTGTTACTACTGTTCAATTGTTACCAGCTTGTATAACTTGTATTCAAACGCACAACAAATACCATATGAGTCAATTGTTTCAAACGCGCAACGAATACAAATAATCTCAATTCTCAACCTCACGCCTTGCGAATGACTTATTGCTTGCGAGGAAATCTTAAGGTGCAATAGATAATATTAAAATCTAAAATACTTACTAGCTATTTTACTTACTTAAGTTAGTCACAAAGGGAAAAGAACTATATATTTTTATTGACTTGGATATCAGATACCAGATAGTTATTAAAAAAAAAAAAAAAGAGATCACGTTCACTTATTTGAGGGATATATGTTAATTGACAATTAGCTTGTTTAAACATTTTGCCATGTATTCGATCGTTGAACAAATTTATTATGCTGACCAAGTCTATCTATTCTTTGTTCAATTATGGGTATGAAATTCTAATACTCATCAAAATGTGCAGATTCTTGATAAAGGAGAGAATATGGCAAATTAAAAATGCAAATTAGACCATTCTGACTAAAGTTGGAATATTGGACTTTCAGTAAAAGCATGGCTAAAAGGAGTCTTATGTCGAACCCTTTTAACATGAGACTCGGAGAATCAAATCCATTAGTTAGGCCCCACTAAAAATAAGGTCAATCATAATTCAAAGAGGAGAAAATGCAATGAATTATTTCTATGAATTACTTCTTTTTATTGAATTGATCAAGTTAGAAGAACAATTTACATGATTGATACATGTACAATTTCTTTACTATTAATTACATAACAATATTACATTCCTGAATAATTAATACTAGCATTATAAACCTCGTATTCTATTTGTAGTATTTCCACTTGAATAGTTTTCATCTCCTTTGTCGCTAGCAATTGATTAGCAAGTGTAAGTCTAAACTTCTTTTCTTAAGGTATTGAAGTTTTCTCTTTTTTTTTTCTTTTGTTTTCTCTTTCTTCATACTTTCTTAATGTTTAGCAGTATCATCCGAATTCTTCTCTTATGGTTGTAATTTTTTTTTTCTTTTTCTCATTCTTCATATTTTCTTGATGTTTAAAAGATACGTCCTCGAATTAAGGCATTGAAGTCTTTATTATTCATTGACGAAATGTGTTACAGCAGCAAACTAATACAAAAAATATTACGGGTCGTTTGACTCGCATGAAAGTATTTATTTAATTAACAATGGTAATCTGTGCTATTTTAACATTATTGATGATTGTAGGAAGTGTTGAGTTGTCCCACATCGGAGGGATTTGAGGTCCTTGGTCTCCTTATATGACTTGGGCAATCCTCACCTTAAAAGCTAGCTTATGGGGTTGAGTTAGGCCCAATGTCCATTTTTATCAGGAAGTCGTTGCAAGTGAAGGAGTCAGTCTATTCTGTTTAATTATTTAGCAGTTCCTCCATTTTTTGCTTTAGCGACGACCGTAAAACTACTAAAGTACTTGCTAGAACTTCTGATAATGTATATATTTTAGATGATCATACCACTAGTAATAGCGCTACCTTTTGAAACTATGCATAATTAATACATTATCCTTTTAGCCAATAAAAATAGAAGAAGTCATTCTTGGCTATCACATAAGATGTCCATAGCAATGGAAGAAGAGAAGGCATTGCATGAAAGAGAAGAGCTTATCAACTTAGCCATGGTGACCTGCCTGAAACCAAGAAATAAAGAAAGGACAGTAAATTTTTATATGAGCTTCCCAAAATGGTGCAGGCAAGTCATCCTTGGCTAGAAAATTAGACTCCTTTCATCATACTATACCTCTCTTCTATCTCCTTCTTATCTTCTTGATCACTTTGTAAATTAACATGCACACTACTAAATAAACGCAAATTACTATATCATCAGGAAACATTTCTGAGGGACTTTCCGTCAAAAATTCCTTCCTGACGAGCCAATTAATTTCCGACAGGATGCCCGTCGGAAATTCACATTTTTAGTAGTGATAGAAGAATGAAAAGTCTTGCATGAAAAGAGAAGAGCATGTCAAGTTAGCCAAGGAGACTGCCTGAAACCAAGGAGAAAATGGCGTAACCAAACACCTTTTAAATAATGGAGCAGGCAAGTCATCCTTGGCTACTAAACAAATATGACTCTCCTCTTCATGTAAGATCTCTCTTCTTAATTTATTGAGATCATGATTACTATATGGATTAGTTAGCCATGTATTTATAGCCATAACAAAAATAGTAATGGAGAAGTAAGCATCTCTCTGGCATATAGTTGCTTTATGTTTTTTCCTTTTTATTTCTTTGACTTTGTTCTCTTCAGCTACATTATCTGACTTTCTAATATAGGAATAAGTTCTTTTCATTTGCAAGGGTACTTGCACTGAGTTTATCTCCAACCAATTCTTTTAGGGAGGAATGTATTGAATCCCATGCCATAAAACGATACGCAGTGGACTAAAGCATATCAAGCACATTAAATGACTGTTGAAAAACAGTGTCCACCCATAACTGATGCTCTAAAATCTCAATAGGTTTAGAATATGCTATACAGTGTTCGTCCAATGTATTGTGAGGATCATCGCTGATCGATAATTTCAATCGTGGTTCCGTTAATCTTTCTGGTTCCGCTACAAGGAGATACTCGGGCGATATAACAAAGTGTTTTTACTAGTTCTAGTCTGTGGGGGCCAAACGCACACGCAAGTATATGCGGTCGTCAAGTAATAAAGTGACTAAAAGTCGGATGTCGATTCCACGAGGACTTGTAATTAACTATAAACTAAATTAGACTATGCTAATTATCTAAACAAGAATTAAACCTAGAAGTATTTGGTTCTAAACTAATTAAATAAAGAATATAAATAATGAACTTTTAACAGAGAGAAAGAGCAGATTTTTATGATATCAATGTAATGAAATCGATCTAGGGTTATGGGCTATCTAACAATCATATTGTATTCTTCAATTGAATTGACTAACTAATTTATCGAGTTTATTGGTTGACAGGGTTAATATTGCTCATAAGAATCTGTCGAGTTCTTACTCGCCTATTCAAGCTAACCTAACGCCTATATGTCTATGGAGTTAGAATCAACAAGAACACATTTATAATTCCTGTAAATCAACCAAGCAAGGCAATTAGGTATATGTCTATCCTAACCGCGAATTCGTTCCCCGATGCCCAGGTTCAAGAACTTGCTCTACTCAATCCTATATGCAATCTAGAATTCCCACTTTCGAGTTCAATTCAAGATTCGTAGATAGTATTCAATTGGTGATCAACCAATCAAATAATTAAGTGCAGGATTAAATAAATAAACCAATATGATAAACTAAGAAATCAAAATCAATATTTGAATAACAATAGTCATGAAAGAACCACAACCCTAGAACGTGAAGTTTAGCTCCACATAGACATCGTAGCAAAACAACAAATCATACAAAGAAACATAAAAATTACAAAGTTGGTGAAAGAAAATATGAAACCCGGCCTCCACGGCGGCTCTGTGCTTGTGTTTTCCTCTCAAAAACGTCCTCCTCTCTCTAAATACCGTTTTTCCATGTATATATACCAAGTAGGGTTGGGCCCAAATAATTATACCTTCTCCAATGTGAAAAAGGACATTTTTCCCGGGTTTGACTAGCGCGGTCGCGCATCTGGGCGCGCTAATGGCCGCGCTAGTTGGACAACTTTCTGTCCTGGGCGCGCTAAAACTAGCGCGACCGTGCATCTGGGCGCGCACTTTTCACCCTGTTCTGTTTGGAATTTGGAAAAACGTAAAATATGAAAGTTGTATCCCTTTGAGTTAGCTTTCCAACCATATATTGTGGAGCCAAAATGGAGTTCTGAGCAAAAAGTTATATCTATTTTCGTGTTTGGATAAAAGTGTTGAAATTGACAATAATAGTTGTAAAGAAGAGAAGATCACAGAGGACCTTGAGCTCGAGTTTGAGCTGCCATGGAGAAGGAGCAGAAGCCTCGAGATAGAGAGAGAACTGAAAGAGGGGAACTTCTGGAAAATGAATACTATCTTTCTTTGTTCACCAAAATGAGTACACATATACATGAGTGGGGTCCTCCACTTACAACATGGACCACTAACTAAATGCCAACTAACTGACAGCTAAGCTAGACTAACATTTAACTAATAAGTAGCTGAGCTAAGCTAACTAACAGTGAGGGAGAAATATAAATAAAATACACACAGCTCAATAACCCCNTAAACAGTTTTACATGACATGAAATGGGAAAACATTAGCAGGAATTCAAGGGACAGAATCTGAAGTGAAACTGAGTCTTTAGACAGCTGGAGCAAACGGAGATATAATCCATCCTTGATCTCACCAATCTCCAGAGGCCTCTTCATTGAAGGGGCTTGCAGAAGACATGAAGAATCAGTGAAGGCAACCAGGCTTTTAAGTTGTGAAGTAAGGCAATGAACAGAAATGAGATTATACTTGAAAGAAGGTACATAAAGGACTTTATGTAATACTATCTGAGATGTAAGTGTTACAGTTCCAATTTCTGTCACTTTCACTCGATAGCCATTGGGTAGAGTGATCAGCAAAGGATATGAAAGAGTTTTGGTGTGAGATAGTAGGGATTTATTAAAAGTCATGTGATTGGATGCTCCGGAATCTAAGATCCAGAGGTCAGCACTTGGTGTAAAACATCTACATGACAGCAAACCAAAATCAATGGACAAGACAGAGGCAGAACAAGCGAAGATACCTGCAAAATTGGCATTTCCATTGGTTAGAGCCGGACTGGTGGTGTTCTCTCCTCCATTCCCAATATGAAATTGTTGTAGTAGACTGAATAGCTGCCCATACTGTTCCTTGGTCAGGTTAAGAGGAGAGTTCATGTTGTTGTTGTTGTTGTCATTACACCCTTGAGAGCTCATTCCATCATCCTTAACTGTCATAGAATCAACTGGTGCACCATGTACATTTGCAGAAACTCTTTTCCCCTTATTGAATCTAGGATTAAAGGTGTTATTTTGGGGGTAACCATGTAACTTGAAACACTTATCTTTCGTATGTCCTGGGCGTTTACAATAATCGCAAAACGGATGAGGCCTGCTATTCGGGTGATTCCCAGTTGAATAATTGGTCTTGAAGCCCTCATTTCTAGATGTATTGACATTTAAAGAGGTAGACTCCATTGTAGGCAGACTGATATTCCTAGAAGAGTTGACATTCATAGGTGCAGATTCCATCATAAGCGAGTTGCTTGGCCTAACTTCCCTTTGTTTTTCCTCTTGGATTAGCAGAGAAAATGCTTGAGCCACTGATGGCAATGGATTCATCATCAGAATACTACCTCGCACAACCGTATACACTTCATTAAGTCCCATCAGAAATTGAATCAGACGCCTGTCCTGTTCGGCCTTATGCATGAATTCCTTGGCTCCACAGGTGCACTTACAGCTGCATTGAGATTTGGTACTCAGATTGTTCAACTCTTCCCATAACCTTTTCATTTTTGTGTAGTAACCTGTGACGTCGAGTACTCCTTGTGATAAATCGTTAATTTCCTTCTGAATCTGATATAGTTTGGTTCCATTGGTTTGGTCATAGCGATCCTCCAAATCTGTCCATAACTCTGCTGCATCCTTTGCGTATTCTACGCTATCTGCGATATCTTTAGCAAGGGAGTTTAAAATCCACGAAGTGACCATATCGTCACAACGCATCCATTGACGGAAGGATGGGGAATCTGGTTCTGGACGTTTGCATTCACCATTGATGAAACCTAACTTATTTTTTACGGAGAGAGCGCGTAAAACACTCCTCCTCCAAGATCGATAACCAATACCGCTGAAAGGAGTCGTCACCAACATTGCACCTGGGTTATCAGAAGGGTGCATGTAAAAGGGACAATTCGGATCGATGTTGGACTCGGAAATGGGGGTAGCGATAGGACTACCTGCAGTAACGCCGGAATCATCTGCTTGATCGAGAATCGCCATGTGAGAATCAATTTGGGAGAAGAAAATTGGCAAAATTGAAAATTAGGGCAAAAGAACAGAATTCCTAATTCTGCAACAAAAATTCACGATTCAACAGGAATCGAGCAATAGGATCTGATAGAGCAAAGCTCTGATACCATGTAAAGAAGAGAAGATCACAGAGGACCTTGAGCTCGAGTTTGAGCTGCCATGGAGAAGGAGCAGAAGCCTCGAGATAGAGAGAGAACTGAAAGAGGGGAACTTCTGGAAAATGAATACTATCTTTCTTTGTTCACCAAAATGAGTACACATATACATGAGTGGGGTCCTCCACTTACAACATGGACCACTAACTAAATGCCAACTAACTGACAGCTAAGCTAGACTAAAATTTAACTAATAAGTAGCTGAGGTAAGCTAACTAACAGTGAGGGAGAAATATAAATAAAATACACATAGCTCAACGTTAATTTATTTATAAAAACTGGTGATAAGCTATTCTTTTCGTAAAATAACTAAAATAACCCTTAATATTTTTATTGAAAGAAATAAATTTAAAAGTATCTTTCTAGGGAAAAGGAGGAACTACAGATACAAAATTAAGACGAAGTTAGAAATTTTCTATTGAGAAGGTACTTTGAAAATTAGAAAACAGATTTTGGCTTCTAATCAATTGACTAATTACAAGCACTTTGATATTTATCAAACATGTAGATAAGCCAAAAGATATTTATAGTGCTTATAAGCTTATCCAAACACTCTCAAAATAATAGTAATTGGGATAAGATATGCTTCTATTTTTACATAAATTAACACTTTCACTTTCTAAAATTTTATGGTTCTTACTATCCTATACGAGAAATACAAAATTAACCTATTTGAATGAAATTGTAACCTTATTTAGACGTTAATGATCTACAACCTTATACATATGTATTTATTATATACACGTATTGTGTTGTGGGAAATAATATACTTTAGTAAATATCTTATTTCTATCACTAAAAAAAAAAAGAAAAAAAAAAGAACGATATTTGTGACTTGTGAGGGAGAATTGTCATAATTTCGTTACTAGTCGAGGGTAGCAAGAATTTTGTGACGGAAGAATAGACTGTCATACGTTTGTCACAAATTGATGAATTTCGTCATAAAATCTTCAAATACTTCAAAACTTCGTGATGAATATTATTTTAACTCTTAAGATTCTTCATTTGAAATTTCTTTCACATTACTCTATCCAACAGTTGAAATAATTTATTCTAATTTGTCATTTTTAAGGTAAAAAGTATTAATATTAAAGAAATAAATAATTCATATCATCCTAATTTGGGCCTCGAATGTAACCAGTCCAAATCGACCCGTCTTTTAGGTTAAAGGTGAAGATTTGAATGGGATTCTTAGAGATGCTATTTAGAGATTGGTCAGTACTTATTTTGTCCTAAAATTTTAAATTAAAAATCCCAACTTGACAACAATTCAGGACATTTTTGTCCTGAAAATTAAACTGAAAAATAAAAATTCAGGATGCATTGGCTAATTTTCAAATAGCACCACTTTATAGTGTCTATCTGGTGTCATTTCTAGGATTTGAATTGTTGAAAGGGCCTTACTCCTTGGTTCACGGAATCAGGAAATTATGTCGAACCTTTTTAGAATCACAAAAGTTAAGTAGTCCCGTGCCAGAATTATACAGCACATTGCCAAAATATTTAGTCTGACAACGTACTTGAATATTTTACCAGTATGCTTCAAAATTCTATTAGGGTATTTCAAAATTCTAGCAGTAGATTTTTTTAATTTTTTTTTTTTAACTAGATCAAAATATATACTGTGGTACTAAATAGTTCTTGATCACGCCCAACTATGCCTTATAAAAAGGACTAAGCGGTCGTTGCAAATATAATCCGGTTTACAAGTCCGGAGTCGAATCCCACGGAGAACTAAGACTTAGCTATAGTTGTTCAATATCGCTAAGAAACACAAGTCCAAACAATTTTCTAATTATAAAGATTATAATATTTATTTTTATCTAATTAACTAACAAATCTAGAAAGCCGTAAAACTATCAATTAACAAGGATAAGGATTGGAGTCAAGATTAAGGAGGTCTAGAGTTATGATTTTCCCAATTGTCGGAATCCTTCCCGCTACGTTTTCTATAAATTCGCCTAAGTATTCTCTACCGATCATGAGCGCTCTGACAGTCGTAACTCTCTCCCGAGTAATTACCACAATTACTCCTTAGGTCGAATCTATGTCTCAAATCTGTCCAACCTCTCAAAATAGCGTTTTTACATGTATTTATACCAAGTAGGGTCGGGCCCAGATGAAAAAAACCCATTCCTGCGCGAACTAGGACTTAGCTCTGTAAAAATTGAACAGCCGCGCCGCAGGCTGCGCCGCACCACGCGGTGCGGTAGTGCATTTTTATCTGCAGCTTCATATTTTCGAGTCAGGCACAATTTTACACTGCTGCGCCGCGCCTTGCGGCGCCCCATACGGCGCCCCATGCGGCGTGGCAGTGTAATTTTCTCAGAGTGAACTTATTTCGTCCTCTTTTAACATCCGGACTTGGTACACGACCTCCGAACACGATCCCGGCTTAATGTTTTGGGCTTTTACTTAGACTTCAAAGCTCCAAATTGATCAATTTAGCTCCAAATTAACTTTTGAGCTCCGGATCGCTTCCTGCAAGGCATAACGCACGTACTAAGTGTAATTCACTATCATTTGAGCTCAAACACACGTAATAACGCAATCATTGGAATGTAATACCACGGCTAAAACACGGGTTTCTAGCCTAACATCAGTTCTATTTGTGCAAATTCCCCTCAGGGTATTGGAGAAGTTCCAGCTTGAATTCATATCCATTTTTGTCAGCAACTGACAAGCGAAAGTCCAAAGTCTGTATTCTTTTCGTTTTTGAGCAGGAAAAGGCAATTCTTTCTATTCAATGACGAAATATATTATCACAATAGAGTGAAAATATTAAGAAATGTTCGATATCTTTGGAATACACTAACTTATAGTAGTTTCTAGTAATAATCTCTGTAAAAGTTAACTAAACATATTTATAAGGAGAATAACTTATGCAAAAAAGAAAATAAATAAAAATCAAAATCATTGGATTCCATGCAAATATGCACGTCAACTCTAGCTGCGTTGAATGCAACTTTGTGGTACTACATTGTAACATACGAAGTGTGCAAATTGTTGCACACCAAGCTAAGAGGCAGTAGCGGAGTCATAAATTCGAATAAGGAGATTCAAAAAATATGAAAATATCACACCTTAAATATGAACCTGTATCAAGGGAAATCGTTTATATATACGCAAAATTTTTGTATTTACCCTTTTTACATTGTATAATTTTTTGACGAACCAGATTCAATTGAACCTCTCACCAGAATAACTCCGGTCTCCGACCGCCACGGCCAAGAGGGAAACGATAAGAGGAGGCCTAGGATGAGAGTGAAGAGCATATCACGTAGCCAAAGATGACTTGCCTGCAACCCATGCAAAAAGGGCTTATCTCTCTCTGTCTCTTATTTTTTATCTAGCTAATTAAATAAGTCCTTGAAAATGGTCCAGGCAAATCATCCTTGGCTATCAAATAAAACTCTTCTTTTCATCTTAGAACCTCGTTCTATTCATCTCTCAATGTATGGAAGAAGAGAAATTGGTCTTACATGAAAGAGAAGAGCTTGTCAAGTTAGCTAAAGATGACCTGCCTAAAACCAATATAAGGAAAGGAGTACACCATTAAAGATGACCTTTTTCCATAAGATAAAGGCAAGTCATCCTTGGCTACCAAATAAGCCTCTTCTCATCATGCTAGACTTCTCATCTGTTTTCTCATCTCTCGATAAAGGGTAACCTAGTGCAAAACTTTCATCATGTGTTCATGCAGGGTTCGTCGGCAATGTAGGTAGCCTATATTGTCGCAAGCATCATGGTTGACTCTACGGCTCGAACCCGTAACCTATAGGTCTCACGGGTACAACTTTACCTTTGCTCCTAAGTCTCCCTATTCTCTGTCTTCTCTCTCGATCTCATGGTAAATTAGCAGAAGAGAAAGTTTTGCATGAAAGAGAAGAGCATGTCAAGATAGCCAAGGAGACTGCCTGAAACCAAGCAAAAAAGGCTACCAATATTAAATGGTGTAATCAAAACACCTTTTAAAATAATGGAGCAGGCAAGTCATCCTTGGCTACTAAACAAATATGACTCTCCTCTTCATGTAAGATCTCTCTTCTTTATTGAGATGATTACTATATGGATAGTTAGCCATGTATTTATAGCCATAGCTAAAATAGTAATGGAGAACTAAGCATCTCTCTGGCATATAGTTGCTTTATGTTTTTCCTTTTTATTTCTTTGACTTTGTACTCTTCGGCTACATTATCTGACTTTCTAATAGGAATAAGTTCTCTTTATTTGTAAGGACACTTGCACTTATCAGTTTATCTCAATTTCATTAGTTCATATGTGCAAGATTTTGGTTTCCAGATAGAGTGAGGAAAATAATGAAGGGCAAGTTACACATTTTGGTCGGTCAGCTAAAAATATCACATTTGCTAGCCAATATATAAAGAATGTATATAAAATACGTATATTATATATTAATGTACAAAAAATATAGTCCATTATTTTTGGGAGCGGCATACTGTGTAGTTTTTCAAATAATATAATAGATAGTAACAGAAAGTAAACGAGCTACGCTGTATCAATAGTGTTTTATGTCCTTGGGAATTTTGACTAATTATCTGTTCTTAAAGAATCTGATAAATTCGAATATTGATAAACTCTATAAAATCGAAAGTGTCCCAGAAGGAATAAAAAGAAAGTCCATGCCACTAATTGAGGTATTGGGAGTGACACATTACACATCTAGTTTATATTACTAGTATTAGGGTACGCGCTTTGCGCGTGTACCCATGTTAATTGATACATATAAAATTACATAAAATATATCAAACAATGTGTTTGAGTTATAAAATAAAAACTTTAAAAAGTATAAGC